CCCAGCAAGCAGTTGTAGGTATTCTGTTCAGGTACTAATGTTACATTGTTGAACACCAGCAACTAACACAGATATACATCTGTGTGAAATGCATGTGTTGCAAAGGGTTTCTATCCTGAGGGATACGTAATCCAGCATTAGGTTTGTCAGGTGTCCTCTGGGATTCCTCTTTTAAACTTTTTAGATTGTTCTCCAAAGGTTATGTAATCTTTTCTGGCCTTTGAAAGGGACTCCAAACCTTAATATCGAACTAAAGAAAGAAGCTTTATCATAACTCATGAGACTCATTGCTGTTGTTCTATCTCTACTGAGCTTCACATGCTCATTATTTCAGTCACACTCGTGTTTTCACATGCTTGAGAAGCATAATTTTTAAAGCCTTTTTCACGCCTGTGTGGTTTGCCTTCAGGTCATCAACAGTCAGGTAATATTGCATCAGTTTAGAAGAACAACATAATCATATATGGATAAAGATATAATTCCATTCTGACTTTTGTTCATTTTAAAGACCTTCCTGGGCTAATTCCCACACAGGGAGCTTCTTATCTTCAATCAGCAGCAGTGGCACCATTAGTAACTGTCAGACTAATCAAAATGTGTTGTACAGGTATAGCAGAAAATAAAAGCCATGTGACCACTGACATTTAACTGCTGCTCCTGTGCATGTGCATGTGCGTGCATGCGTGTCTGTCTGCGTGTGGGGGGTGGAGGGACCGAAAGCATTCCAGACAAAAGGAAAGTTCAATACGCTTGACAAGGGTCTCTCAAATTTTTAAAAGCGCTGTTCTTGAGGTCGATTGGGGTCCTCAAAGCTCCTCTGATTCTCAGCGTGAGTTGAAAATAACAAGCTTTATCTTTCTCGCAGGCTCTTTTTCTGTATTATGAGGTCTATAGGGGACTAATCACATGGAAACATTTGAAACAAGGTAATCTCAGGGTCAGGCTGCCTTAGGTCACTGTCTCACAGGGGTGCGAGAAAATAAAGTACTCACAATTTACTGTGAATTCAGTTTTACACCAAGAGGTAAAATTCATTTTTATAAAGCTGGAATTCGCTCACAAATGCATTTTCATAGTCTAATTCATTTAATCTCTAGATTACATAAATATCTGTAGCACAACTGGATGTTTGCCTTTTAAATTGCGGGACAAAATGTTGTATCATCCAGCTCTTGCAATTAATGCTCACTTGGGAGATAATGAGTGGTTATGCAATACACAGCAAATCTAAAATTAACAATTTAAATAACATTTGAAGACTAGACACTGATGTTCATATGTCTGTCACGGGCCCACAGTTTATACTGATGGTCTTTTCCAGTCTATGGAACATGCATTTTATTTCATTAAGGCCTGATGGAAGATTGCTCAGTTTTCCAGACTTCATTAAATCTCGCCTTCAGAAGTTTATAAATGGGCGAATTAAAAGTCATGGCAACATGCTGAACCTGAACCTCCCATTTGCTGTGGAAAATGTATAGACTGTATATAAAAGATGGACATTTCACTGCGATGTCACATAATTAAGTGAAATTCTAATGTGAGAAAGTGAAGCTGAGGGTTTTTGCTGTAACCAGCTCACAGTTTAGATGATGAATGTGAGAAACTAGAAACCAGAAACTAAGGGCTATTGCATGAGGCAAGGGAGAGTTACAGAAACGTACTCCCTGTTTTACTGTCGTTTTTGATTCGAACATCATGTTGTACTCACCCAGGCTTAAAAGTAGTGAGAAACCCAGAAGTAAAGAGTTCACTGAATCATACATAGAGCAAGACTGTGCTGCCACTGCTGGGTGCAGTAGCTCCACCACCCCACTAGGGGGAGGAAGCGGGTTTGTGTACTCAAGTTTCTCTAGTAAATATAGGAAAAGTTCATGGAGTCTGGCCAAGTTGATACCAGCACACAAAATATTAGCTCTGAAGTTGGCTGTACTGGAGCATGAGAAATATATGCTTGTAAGTACGATTATATTCTGTGTTCATGTTAAGCATGTGATGTAAAATGGGTTGTTGACTCTCATATTTGAAGCCGGCATGTTAGCTGCATTGCCGATGCTAATTGTGTTAGCATGTCAATAGGAAACTCCATGTGTGTTCTGCCCTCCCTGTACGTTGATGCCCAGTTTGGCAGATAGATAAACAGTTCTTCAAAAGGAGAGGCAAAGGCTTCCAGTTCTCATTGCAGGGTTTATTTGTCTCCCTAATGAAGGCACTGTAAAACTACAAACATAAGAAAAGCATATTAAAACATACATCTGGAACATAATATATTTCTCACATTACAAAGTACAGACTGAAGACTTAGCAACTTGAACTATAGCTGGTATAACCAAGAAAAATAAATGAAAACATGTTAACTCCAAATCCCGCTAGCTTGATGCTAACACACAATGGAATTTCCTCATGCTCCAGTACAGCCAACTTCAGAGCTAATATTTTGTGTGCTGGTATCAACTTGGCCAGACTCCATGAACTTTTCCTATATTTACTAGAGAAACTTGAGTACACAAACCCGCTTCCTCCCCTAGTGGGGTGGTGGAGCTACTGCACCCAGCAGTGGCAGCATAAAAACAGTAATTTTCCTGTAGATGTCTTTGCATTCAAACAAAAGGAGCTGCCCTGACCTGGCAGAACACAGGTAACTCTGCATTAGCTACATCCATGTTTTATAATACTCCCTCTGGGAAAACTCACAAAAACGATGGACATCATGTCTAAAGATACAGTAGATAAATACATTCCACATAAAACAGGGAAATAGCTACAATGAAGGGCACGGAAGGACACGGTGACAAACACAGACCCAGATGAGGTGACACAGGAGACATGGACAACATGCAAATACAAAAGAAGAAAGAAAAGAGCAAAGAACAGAGGAAAACCAAAGGACACAGAAGAGACAATGACACATCAAATAAGATTATAACAAACCACCCACTATTACTGAGACTGTAGAACTTTCAGGAAATTATTTTTTACTAGTAAAAAAAATAATTAAAAATTAAAAATAAATAAAACAGCTATAATTCAGTGTACAAATGACAGAAAATAGTACTGACAAGCTGCACATTGTTAGGAAGTAGAAACAGAACAATAGTGCAGACGTTTCATTGAGTGTCATCAGAGCTCCAGTCAGTCATTGCAGGTGGGGGCGGGGGTATGAGATTGGTGGTTGTAGGGACTGCAAATCAAATACCCTTGAATGGTGCATTAGAGCAAGAAAAACCTACACTGGGTTCGTTTGAAGAAGTCTGGAAAAGGTTTCGCAGACATTGCATCACCGCTTCTGTCTGTCTGTCTGTGTCTGTGTGAGTGTGCATACCTGTGTGTGTGTGTGTGTGTGTGTGTGTGTGTGTGTGTGTGTGTGTGTGTGCGCGCGCGCTCACTCACACACTGAGCCGTACTGTATGTGCGCAGTTCACATCACAAATGCACAAACGCAAATCCTCTCTCTGACTAACTCATGCTCACTCCCTCTCTGATCAGAGTTCAAACAGCGGTTTGCTGGGTATTTTCCCCAATGCACTTCATTACTGAGGTTGACAAGTTTTAGATCCATGTAATCCAGAACATTATTTAAAATAGGAATAATAAATATCTAAAACCAAACTAATGTAGAACTGAAATCATGGCTATGTTTAGACCCGGCATGATTTGCAGTACCTGGCATGATTTACGTACATGTACAACTATAACACATAATTACTTTAAGCCTGACTCAGACTAAAACATTTAGCCTTCTAAGGGCCCTGCACACCCACACTGAGGTGCCTCCACTTACCATCTTATTAACCCTCTGCTCAGGTTCAGGTTGAAGTTGTGTGGAGCTGTAGTGAGAATTACATGAGGTCAACACAGTTCATATAAAGATGATAAAGGTGTAAGTTGTCAAACCCTGCAGGTGTTACAAAACTAACAGCCAGAGATAGCCAGAGTAATCAGTAATTAGTTACTGATTACTTTTTTCAAGTAACTTGACCAACACTGCTAACAGCACAGTGATAGAAATGTCAGTCAAACACAGCCAGTACACCCACACAGATGCTGAAGAAGCTAATTTAGGGAAAAGTGTAAAAACAAACTAAAGAAAATTAAGATGCGTGAGAAATAGATGTGTGATGAGCATTTATTACATTTGTAAAAATCAATTCCTTTGCATTAATAACGCGTTAGTCCCAACACTGCTGAGAACACTCACGTCAACTTTTATCGAGTGGAAAAAAAGTTAGCTTGTTTAAATTATGCTAACATAGCTGTGTCGCTAGCGGTCACGTAGCACATCATTATATACCAGCTAGCCCAACTTCAGTAACCCTACAAACGTCACTGCTGTTTAGTTTTCTGTCTTCATTTATGCTGGAAGTGATAGCAGAGCTGTACGTTTGAATTTGTTTCCAAAACCCCGCAGTCAGGACATGCTATATTGTATTTAGATAGAAGCTAGCGAGCTAACTCCCTGCTAACTTCTAACTTCGTTAAATGTCATAAATTCCGTTTTCATGGATGCCTGGATGTTAAACTCAATTGTTACACCTGGTAGAGCAGAACGCTGATCATTTTATTAAAGATGAAAGACTTTAGACAGCTTTTCAACTCTCAGTAATGCCACAGTGATCGTTTGATATATGGAGCTGCAGCGGAGTTTAGACCCAGACACGGCTAGTGACGTCAGACTGAACAACCGGATAATGAAGTATACCTGAGACAGATTTCTTCTAACTTATCAACAGGGTTGCAACTCTGGAGTTTTGTCATTTTGTCCATCTAAGATGCTTTCTTGCTCACAAGTTTATTTTAAATGTAATGTGTTTGTCCATGTAATACAACAATGGAATTTGATTACTTTAAAAGGCATATCAATATTACCTTTATTATTGTTCAATTCATTCTTATTTATACATTGCCAATCCTGAGCAGTCTTCTCAGGGTGTTCAATGCTCCAAGGTAAAGACTCCACTATATTCAACCTTGAGCAAGGACTTGGGGAGAAAGAAGTCCCTTTAAGAGGAAGGGACCTTTGACAGAACCACAGCCAGGGGGGCAGCCATCTGCTCTGATCTGTTGAGGGGGATGAGACGAAAATGGAGAGAAAAGAGGAGCACAGAGGTACGATTAACAACAGGACAAAGCTCAAGCTATACAAGCAAGAGAGAAGACAAAAGTTAATAACATATAAACACATGGGACTGAAAGGAAGGGGAGTGAAAAGTTCTCAGTGCATCATGGGAAGTCCCTCAACACCCTGAGCCTATAGCAGCATCACTAAGGGATGGTTCAGGCTGATCCACCCCTAACTATAAGCTTTATCAAAAGGCAAAGCTTGAAACCTAATCTTAAAAGTAAAGAGGGTGTCACAAGAGAGGAGCCTGATAGCTGGAGGCTCTTATTCGACTTTGGAAACTCTAGGAACCACAAGTAAGCCTGTACTCAGAGAGCAAGGCACTCTATTGGGATAATATTGTACTGTGAGGTTTGCAAGATATGGTGGGGCCTGATCATTCAGGACTTTGTATGCAAGGAGAAGGGTTTTAATTCAGTTCTGGATTTAACAGGGAGCCAACGGGAAAAGGAATATGGGTGAAATATGATCTATCTTACTAATTCTTGTAGGCACTGCAGCATTATATTGGGAAGCTTTTAGAACAACAGCTTTGACATAATTCTTCATATGTTATTTATAACAAGTTTTGATACTACATTACAGCATGTAAATATACTAAAGAGAGAGCGTATATTCACCATATATGGCTAAGCACCTTTTAACTGAGATTATAGGTGCTTATCATAACACCTATTATAAAGAATTATTTGTCATCTTTAGGCTGAAGATGCACTCAAATCAGACTCGGATCAGCTTCAGTTTTACAGTTTTTATTGTAATACAAGAGTCATTTAACAAAGAAAAAAATAAGAAGATGAGTTATTAGGAGGGGCTGAGGTGAGTACAAAAAGATCTGCCAATGTTTGACTAGATTCTGAGACCTTACTTGTTTGTTTCCTGGGTAGATGATCTGTAGGGACTATTGGCAGGAAGTCTGAATTGTAAAGTAGCTGAGAGTGCAGTGGTGGAGAGTGGGGAGGCAGGTGGACAGGACTGGGATCCTACAGTCAAATAGGCGTCCAGGAGGCAACTAGGGGAGTAGGAGAATCGGTGTTACTGGACAAAAAGCAGAAGAACTAGCAGGTTTCAAAGAGGACCTGATTACCATTGGCAAGAATGATCTGGCAGAGAGTAGAAGCACAATCACTCGGTCTTAAATACCACGAGCCTGAACTCTGGACAGGTGTGAGAAGGAAAGCTTGAGAAGGCGAAACTCTGCCAACATAAAGGGCCAGACTTCAGGGAGAAAGAAAGCAACAGAGAGCGGAAGGAGGCAAAGACACAAAGTCTGCCAGGACCAGGACAAATACCAATATAGTTGTTTTTTTTCTTTCCCGATTCTTGGATATGCACCATCCCAAACCTGAACCCCAAATGCTTTTATCGCAGACAGTCTGATGCACATTGAACTTGCAACCTTCAGGACCCCTCAAGGTCTGTGGGCCATGGGCGGTCTTTCTCTTTGTAAAGATTAACCTGAATATTAAAAGAACAAGCCACTCGTTCATCTCCACTACAATTAAAAGCCTTCATTTGCACATGAATTAGTGAACTTCTGTCTGAACAAGCACTTTGTGTTTTACACTAATGAGTAACATTTTAGTATTCTGTCAAGCTATTGACTCTTTGTCCACTCTTAACTAGGGGTGGATATTGTAGCAGTTATGTAAATAATTATTCTTTCATTTGGTTTTATTGTTTAATTAGGATTTTGCTGCAAATCTCATTTGTTGCAAGGCGTTCCTGAACTACTTTAATCAGGCTCATCCACAAGACCTCTTCGGTGCATATTTGTCACCACATATAGACATAAGTATGTTGTTTAAAATTATGTCATCATACTTCAGTACTTATAAAATAAAGAAAGACTTCCAAGTTAAATTATATAATTTAACAAGATTTACTCTTTAAAGTGTGATTCTGGAACAGGAGTATTCACTGCTGCCTCAATAATGTTTTATTAGTCAGCTTTAAGCATATGAATACCCTTGAATAATTCAGCATTGGCAGAATGCACAAAGCAGGGAGAATAACAAATGCAAGGTCTGCCAGCACCCACCTTCTCCAGCACACAGCATTCAACACACACTCTTGAGACATCCTCACATACAAATGCAGGAAGACATGAAGAACCCTTCACCTGCACTCATGTGCGGATGTCCGGCAACTGACAGCTCTGCACAAGGTCAGGTCAGTCAAGGCCAGCACTCGATCCCTGTGGGAGAGGCTCTGCTCATAAAAATGTAAATTCTGGTACCATGTAGTGAGTATGATCCAATGTAGAAATTACATTGGATCATAATCACTACACCAGTCTAGAATACACAGCAAATGATAGGCAGGCTGCCGTTCTAATCACTTTATTCTCATTCTTTTCTTTAATGTATGACCAGAAAGCAATCAAAATGATTGAAGGGTGTCTCAGTTGTCTTTATTACACTGTTCAAAAAATTAAAATGGAACACTCTGAAAACACATAAGCTTACCATAAAAAGTCACGCTGGATGTCTGTACTGATATGGACTAGGTAATCAGTTAGGAGCAAAATGATACCACAACGTTTGATGAAAATGAAGATTATAAACCAACAGACAGCTGAATTAAAAAAATAACTGAAAAAATCAAATTGAAAAGATGGGGGGAAAGGCCAGCCAATGTTGCGAACCCAGGACCCAGGATGCTTCAAGAAAAACTGAACAGGATGGAGGTGGACCCCTGCCTGGTGGCTTGGATCTCCGACTACCTCACCGACAGACCACAGTACGTCAGGCTGAAGGACATCACGTCTGACACAGTGGTCAGCAGCACAGGAGCACCACAGGGAACTGTGCTGTCCCCTCTTCTCTTCACCCTGTACACCTCTGACTTCTGCTACAACTCTGAATTATGCCACATTCAGAAGTTTGCAGACGACACAGCCATCATGGGGTGTATCTGGGATGATCAGGAAGAGGAGTACAGAAGTCTGGTGAGGAACTTTGTCGCATGGAGTCACACAAACCACCTGCAACTCAACACCTCAAAGACTAAGGAACTGGTTGTGGACTTCGGGAGGTCTAGAGCAGGTCCACTGCCGGTTCAGATAGAGGGGGAGGAGGTGGAGGTGGTCAACAAGTACAAGTACCTCGGGCTGTGGGTGGACAATAAACTGGACTGGTCATGCAACACAGAGCACCTGTATAAAAAAGCCCAAAGCCGACTGTACTTCCTCAGGAGGCTGAGGTCTTTTAACATCTGCAGGAAGCTCCTGAGGATGTTTTACCAGTCAGTGGTTGCTGGAGTACTTTTCTATGCTGTGGTGTGCTGGGGGAGCAGCACAGCAAAGAAGGACTCATCCAGGCTGGAGAAACTGATCAGGAGGGCTAGCTCTGTGGTCGGCATGAAGCTGGACACTCTGGTGACAGTGGCAGAGAAAAGGACATTAAAGAACCTGATGGACATTATGGACAATGCCAGGCATCCTCTGCACACGGCCATTAACAACCAGAAGAGTCTGTTCAGTGACAGGTTGCTTCTCCCAAAGACAAGAACTAACAGACTTAAAAACTCCTTTGTCCCACACGCCATCAGACTGTTTAACTCCTCTCTGGAGGGGAGAGGGAGGGGAAACAGGAGGACAAAGGAGGGGGAACAACTAAGCTGTAGTGCCTCTTCACCTCACTGTGCAATACCTTTTGTGCAATACTTTTGTAAATAGTCAACGGTGCAATAGACTCAATACTTGAAATGTGCAATTCACTTGTATTTTTATTTTTATTCCTATTTATTCTATTTATCCCCTTCGTATATTTTATTTATATTGTCTCTGTATTTATATATATGTGTGTGTGTGTGTGTGTGTGTGTGTGTGTGTGTGTGTGTATATATATATATATATATATATATGTATATGTATATATATAATATTCTGTAACTCTGTAACTTCTGTCGGTGCTGTGCTTTTTTGGAAATCGAATTTCCCAGAGGAACCCACCCGAGGGATTAATAAAGTTCTATCTAATCTAATCTAATCTAATCTAATCTTACTGTGCCAGCATAGGGTCCAAGGATTTCATCCCAATACCTAATGGCGGTCAGGGTGCCATAAAGGTCTGTGGTTCCTCAGACCATCACTGACCACCACGAGACCAGTCATGGTGACAATGTTATAAGCACCACACCATTCTCCATGGCTTCTCCAGATGCTATCAAGTCTGTCACGTGTGCTCAGGGTGAACTTGTTCTAACCTCTAAAAAGTACAAGGTGCAGTGGTGGACCTACCAATTCTGCTATTCTATAGCAAATCCCAATCAGATCACTAGAGAATAGTGAACCCTCAGTTCACCCTCATGAAGTCTGTTTCTGGTTCTTTGGTCATAAACATTCACACCAATTGCCTGCTGGAGGTCATTTTGGCTCTGACAGTGCTCACCATGCTCCTTCTTGCACAAAGGAGCAGATACCTAATTAAGGACCTTTTTAGTGCCCTGTTCATCTCTCCTAGATTAACCGCGTGTCTCCAGAAATCTCCTCCATGCTCTTGAGACTGTGCTGGGAGACACAGCAAACCATCTCTCAATGTGCCATATTGATATGCCATTCTGGTAGGGTTTAGATATCATCTCATACTACCAGTAGTGACACTCATCCTACCCAAAAAGTGAAAACTATTGCAGTTATTTCTGACTAGTACAGAGTTAGAAAAGTTAGGGGAGTAAAACGTGAGTGGCTCCACCTATAAAACCATTCCTTTTTTGTTGCACTGTTGCCCCCCTAGTGCACCTGTTGTTGCTTTCATTAACACCAAAGCAGCTAAAATGGAGTAACAACTCCCTCTGCTACTTAACTGACCGTATTAATATTCTTTAATTGACTTGATGCTATACACTCATTAAAAATGTTCCTTTAATTTTTTTGGAGCAGTGAACAATCAAGCACTGATCTTTAAAAACGAAAATAACTACGAAAGGCATCTCAAGTTGTGAGACATCATGTTTGATTTAAAAACCTAAATTGGTCCATGAGATGGTCCATGTGGTGTGACTCATGAGATTTCATGTGATGTACAGTCTGCTCCCAATCTAACAAGAGAAGAAGAAACGCTGGTGGAATTGGAGATGAGGATGGACAGGTGTTCTAGTGAAGCTGTCTAGAAACAGTGGCTGAAGCTGGTGGAAAGCAACTCTTATCTTCACCAGCCCCCTCTAATAAAAAATATGCTTGTTTGCAAAGAAAAATAAAAGTATGTAGAAACAAGAGTAGATCTCCACTGTTGGATACAGGTGTTGGAGTAAAGGAATACATTATGATTCTGAAATAGAATAATTTCATCTAGACTTGAAAGCTCAAAGCTAAATTACATAACTTATAGTAATTATAGTGGAAATAAGTGGAGAGATATCAACCGAACAGGTAAAAAGGAAAAGTAATGACAGTTATTTCCTATATATCACAGGACAAGAGGCTGGGAATACCTGAACAGGTCACTGTTTTACAATGCCAGCAGAGATAAAAGTAAACACACAGACACACACAGTTATTCACACCTATCAATTTAGAATCACCAGTTAACCTGAGAAATGTAAGAACATACACACATCACTAAATTGTGCCAGCTCACCAAGCCGTTTGAATCCAGAACCTTCTTCACCGTAACACAACATGGCCAACCATGGTGCCATCACTACTAAAGAGAAAATCCTGCATTTTAAGGTTTATTACTACAAGACCACTGCAAAGACATTTTTATGTAAAACATTGTCACTTAGTGGTGGATTGTGTGTGTGTGTGTGTGTGTGTGTGTGTGTGTGTGTGTGTGTGTGTGTGTCCTATGTGAAACTTTCTAGTTTTAGAATGCAAATTTCATCTTCTGTTAAATCTTCACACCATCAAAAAAAATGACAGGCACTTATCCTTCACACACACACACACACACACACACACACACACACACACACACACACACACACGTGTATATATATATATATATATATATATATGTGTGTGTATGTATATGTGTATATGTGTGTATATATATATATATATATATATATATATATTAGGGGTGCAACGATACACAAAATTCACGGTTCGGTTCGGTTCGATACTTTGGTGTCACGGTTCGATATTTTTTCGATACAAAAAAAATGTTCATGCCTTTTTAATTTGGCATTTATTAAAATTATAAATATATATTTTAACTCAAAAGTACAGTTTTTAAATTTAACCCTAACCCTTGTGCGTGTTTTTATTTTGACAGCGAATGCGCACCTGCGGACCACTTATGTGCAGCCCTGGTTATTTAGCTCGTCATATTGCAGCCACAGAAATTCTTTTGTCCATGAAACCATAAAGCTGCACTTTCTTTTTGCCTTATACTCTGATTTGTCATAACTTCTCCATTTTGTGGTAAGCTTTTCTTTGGCTGTCACTTCTTCACCCTGACCTGTCTTATTTGGCTCAGCAGAACTAAAATATATATCTGTCTGTGAAGGTTCTCAGTCATCCAGGTCATCATAGTCAAATATAAATCCTGCTGCTTTTACACACGTACTCACATAAGCTCAGCGATTCTCTGCGCGATCAACCTCTCACATGTTTAAGCTGCGGGAGATTTCACTTGTCATGTTTGCATAGTAAGCTAACAATTAATAAGAGGATGTCAGAGGAATTGGTGCGCAAATTATCATCACTCACAGATCAGTGCTGTCGCTCTCTATACACAGTTCGCGTGATTGCAAAGTGAAAGCAAAAAAACAAGCGCAAATTCAAACGCGATTTCAATATGTCACATATTGACAGTGGCTCACCGATGCCAATGACATAATTACCCAGCTACATTTCCGAAAGAATGCAAAAGCATTGACATATATTTTTCCTTCCTACAATAGCCCGACGGGCAGGGCAGAGATAGATTTTGGTAGCCCGACTGAAAAAAATCGCTAGCTCCAGGACGTTGGGCTAGCGATATTGCAAGCCCTGTATCTGATTGAGGAATCACTCATCTTTGGAAAAGAGAGTTTATTACAGAGAAATGTCTCTTTCCAAAATAAAAGCTATACTATCCGCTTCTTCTGGGATATATTCTCAGCAGCATATTAAACAGCTGTCTAAATGACTCGGCTAAAGTTAGTAGCATGCTTGCTTGTTTTTTTTCTGCTTCCACTTGTCTTTGCACTAGGATGATGTCGGCGTAAATGTGCAGTCATATTCGTTGTGTTCCCACTAGTGCTTTCAGGTTAATCTCGTTGAAATGACCTTAACGCCACAACACGGCAAATCTCCGTTAACGAGCTACCGCCGATCGCCCGTGCATGGGGCTAGACGGCCAACACGTTAACGAGCTAACTGCGCTAACACACTAGCTCCCACACATGTAATTGAGCATTGCATGGCACATCCAACATACTGTTTTACTTTAGTCCATGACTGCTTACCTTCAGGGTCATACGTCACATGAAAACCAAAATAATTCCAAACGCCAGATCTGAATGAGGGTGGGGGAGGTCCATGTTGTAAGGAGAGCTTAACTTCTGTCTCGCTAGCTTGCCCTGCGCTCTTCCTTCTGACGATGCTGTCTGTGTTGAGCGCTCAGTGAATCTGCGTTCGACTACTCCGCCTAGGCTGCACTGTCGACCCTAGGCGGAGTAGTCGAACGCAGATTCACTGAGCGCTCAACACAGACAGCATCGTCAGAAGGAAAGTTGATGAAATAAATTACAAATTTTGTATTGTTCGATACATATGCGTACCGAACCGAAAGCACTGTATCGAACGGTTCAATATCGATACGAATATCGTTGCACCCCTAATATATATATATATATATATATATATATATATATATTATATATATATATATATATATATACACACAAAATATATATACACAAAAAACACATATATATATATACACACACATATATATATATATATACATATATATTAGGGGTGCAACGATATTCGTATCGATATTGAACCGTTCGATACAGTGCTTTCGGTTCGGCACACATATGTATCGAACAATACAACATTTGTAATTTATTTTATCAACTTTCCTTCTGACGATGCTGTCTGTGTTGAGCGCTCAGTGAATCTGCGTTCGACTACTCCGCCTAGGCTGCACTGTCGAGCGCAGATCCACTGAGCGCTCAACACAGACAGCATAGTCAGGAGGAAGAGCGCAGGGCAAGCTAGCGAGACAGAAGTTAAGCTCTCCTTGCAAGATGGACCTCCCCCACCCTCATTCAGATCTGGCGTTTGGAATTATTTTGGTTTTCATGTGACGTATGACCCTGAAGGTAAGCGAGTCATGGACTAAAGTAAAACAGTATGTTGGATGTGCCATGCAATGCTCAATTACATGGGTGTGAACTAGTGTGTTAGCGCAGTTAGCTCG